ACTGAATAAAAGATGTAGAACTAACAGTAAACATGCTAATGTACATTAGGTAATAGCAACCAAGTCATTTCATTTTCTTAGACTTTAGTTTCTAAGCTACAAGTTATATGACGATACTGAATTAGTTAATTAATTACTTGGTTCATTCCTGCCAGTCTCTTTTGGGAGAAAAAGTACTTATAAATAGGCATCTGCTTTACATATTCTGGAAAAAAAGCTGGTCTTACTGAAGTCCCAAACCAAGGGGAATTTTGTCACATTTTAATGCACAATAACACTTGTAGTCTTAGTGCCTTACAGAGGAGCAACGCAGCATGTGAAAATCATATACTCTCTGTCAGTAGTTCTGAACACAAATTGAATCACTTACAAAAAAAGCCTGGCATTATAAGATCTCAAAGGGGTATAAAACTTCACTAAATGTGTTTTCCCTCTACTGGCCAAATAAACATTTAGTGAGCTTTACATGTAAATGTTTAGTGTTCCTAAAATGAAAACCCAAATGCATGGCTTACAGTCTTGTACAATAGGAATATTGCCAAAAGAAAGAGAAAGAAGCAAGTGTCAAAAGGAAAAAAAAAGTTACAATCTGGATCTGCAAAAACAGCTGGACCCTTTTAACTCTGAGCTCTAAGAATCTGCTGTTGTTAAGGAGGTTATTGCTTACACAGTAAATTTTTTCTCTTGTATTAGAGTAAAAAGAAAAGAGAAAAAACAATTAAATTGTATCTCATTCTGGTCTCCTGGAATGACACAATGTTAGCATCATTTTAAGCATTGATTTGCCCTTCAGGAAGTATTATTTACCTTTCAGTGGGTAGAAACATGGACTGATAGAAGAATGGTTTTTTCTCAAGACTATTAATAGTACCAGTAATGATTTTTCTTTGTAATGGGATCTCTTTATCACCCAATGCTATCTTAATTGGGAATAGAGATTCAAAATTTCAATAATAAACACATCAAGGTCACTCTAAATAAAAAGATAATGTTGATTTTAGTAAAATGAAACAGATTTACATTAAATTTGTTCTTTCTCTTTGCACTATATTCCGTCAAATGCTCAAATAACTTACTGATCTTGATTTGGTCCTCTTAAAAATTGGGGCAATATTACAATTGAGCTTATGTCATTAAGGGAAACATTTAACTTTAGGGTAAGTGGCTTCTTCAATAGATAAAAAATAGCTTCCTTTCAATTTAAAAACACAACAGCAAAATGCGGTAGTGGATGTTACTTCAGAAGTGTTTCTCTGAAACATGACTGTGGATGATCTCAGTAGATGAATTAAATAATATGAGAGTCCAGGCACAGCTCAGGAGGCTTGGGGTTAATGTTGGCATTCAGATCATAGGCTGAGGCAGACAACTGGTGTGAGTGATCAGGGAAACCTTGAATGTAATATTCCAGAAAGCTGGAAGAGGCAGGTCAGGCAGGATTCCCTGATACATTCAGCCCTGGATAATTCAGCACTTTGGACAGTTCCCAAGGCCTGAGCTTCTTTCCAGGTCCTTAAGAGTATTTCATCTTTAGATTACCAGACCTACTCATTTATTTTTAGCTTTTGGTGTTGCACCTGTATTTGCATGTGCCTTAATCCAAATTTTATCTGCATTCATCCAAAGAGCTCTTTGGTCTGTGTTTCACATGAAACCTGCACTTGCAGTTCTGACGTGAAGATTCATAGCATTGCTTATGGTATGTGAGGTGATGTCAGGACTTGTTCGATTAACTTAATTTTAAACTCAATTTAATACGAACAGGTGAGCATGAGATCATCCATGTCATGAATAGTCCATCAGAACCAAGTGCTTTGGAACATTTATATGCAAGGTCATTCAGCAGCTGTTATGCAGCAAACTAAAATGAGGTGCTCAGACTGGGGTGAGGGGTGAGGGTTAGGGATGCAAGAAAAGGCTTTAAGAATCTGCTATAATTCTGCCTAGAATCATGGAACATAACTATAGATGGTAACTCAACCATATTAAGACCTTCCTTACATCCTCTGGTAAGTAGCAGAGTTGCTTTTTGGAGCAAGGACTTTGAGCCAATTTCTAAGAGGCAGACCTGCGATTCATCACAGTCCATTTTGTTACTAATCAAAGGATGAATTCCATTTTAGCTACATCTATTCACCAAGATTAAAATTAGAATTATTGACAGTGAGTCAAAAATTTATACATATGAGAAATACTGAAAAGAATATATTCTTTCTCATAACTACTTTTCAGGTAGGTGTTTCCTGTTCTAAATTGAGTGGTGGAGTGAAGCATAGGAACACTATAAGGCTGGTTTTCTCAATGATGACATACCAAGACATTTTATACAGGTCTTCCCTGATCTTTGCTAATGAAAAATAAATGTGTTCCCAGTGGCTGACAAGAAATGCACCGACTTTGGAAGCATTTATGGGCAAGAAGAAGCAGGGGCTATCTCCCTACCTCCAACTGTATTCAGCACCCTTACTGTTGTGGCTTATAGGTTAGAATTGGCTTTAAGGACCCCCACATGTTTAACAAGTCTGTAACCTTAATGCTGAAAGTAATTAAATGTCTTCTTAATTTCTTTAGTGGATTCACAGATGCCAGATATGAATTTTCTTGACTGACTGGGGGCTATAAAGAGCACTGAGAAGGCACAGATGGTTTTAGAAAGGAGTACAGAAGGAAGGAACGGCCCAAACAATGCAGATGGGAGAATATGCAACACAGGGAAACTGGAATTCTAATAAAGAAACAGTATGAGAGACTGGTATCATGAAAGTTTGACATGTAAAAGCTCTCAGGCCTTTCTTTGCCTAGTTGAAGAGCACGTGATTGTTACTCTGTATACTCTGAAAGCAGCAATTGCAGAAAAGGCATTCCTTAGGTTTGTTTGACAAATAATTCAGTAAGGGGTAGCCCTGAATCTAGAGCTTATGATCAGTCCTGAAGCAACAGCAGTGACTCTTAATAGAATGCCAATTCTCTTAGCTCCTTGGCTATCAGTGTGGGAAAATCCTGAGGTTTGAGAACGTTTCTAATGTGTCTGCCCAGAATAGTTATGTGACCTGAGAAAAGAGCTTCTTATTTATTCACGTACACAATGTGCATTTGTAAACAATGAGTGATTCCCCCAAAGTCGTGAATATATAAATCAGCCTTGTTATTCAATGATCAGTTCTATGCATCCTGGGGGAATTAACAAGTTGGTACCAAACAGCAAACTAAACTCTCAGTGCTGTAAAGATGTCTAAAGAAGATTCAAGACAATTCACCTTGGCTCACAAAACTTAGTTATGTTTGTATGGTTTCAGAGCATTTTCCTCAGAATTTAATTGGAGCCTAAAATTTAAGCTAGGCTGGATTTTAAACTATTGATATTAAATTTCATGACATTTAGTTTATCATGAGAATACTGACTTAACAAACCATTTGGTTGAATTTTTTCACCTTCTATATACAGTTAATACTGTTTTTAATTTTAAAAACAAAAAGAAGTCATATTATTTATCATACTTTTGAAATGCTCCTGTATGTTAAGCCATTGGTTCTTTGCTACATAAACATGATATTTAAATAAGGCAGTTGAATACATTGTTATTGGCAGACATGCAAACTAAAGAATGCTACTAAATGATGTCACAAACCCCACATGAAAATATACTACAAAATTTATTGTTTATTTACTCTGACTTTCTTGATATAATTATTTTTCTATGATTTATATAGGCATTTTCATATATAATTTAAGGCTGCTTATGTGATCAACACAGCTTTTGTATCTAAAATATTATCAATCAATCTACAATATTATCCATTTTTGACAAAGAAACAACACTCATGTATAAAGCCATTATCTTTTCTTGGATATTTTTGCCTATTTCCTGTAAATGTGGCAATAAGCAACTAATGTCTCAGCTATAATTTAGACATATGTTCCAGCTTAAACTGCCTAAGGAGTGATAAGTAAAAGAAGAGATTTTTAATACTTCTAACAACTTAAAAATACTGAGTTCTTAAATAACTATAGTTCACTGGAAATTCACAAGTAAACAAAGGAGGAAGTGGAGGGTGAAACTGTAAACAAACTCAGCTATTTGCTGATGGTAGACCTCAGATATTGATGGGCTAAGCAGCAATGTATATATTGAGTTATATTTTTAGTATCACTCACTATTAACTGAAGTTCAGTAAAGCTGGATTCATCTTTAGACTTAATACATATAAAGTTTATACATATGGTAACTGTGAGGTAGGAATAAAATAATTGATTTTATACCAGATTTTTTAGTTATATTATTTAAAAATTTTGTTATACATTGACAGGTATATGATTTCATCAGACATAAAGTACATGCATGTAGATATTACTTAAATGTATAAATGCCATCAATCAACAGGTTATTTATCATTCCCCTTTTACATCTAAGACTACAGAGGTTTAGAGATACTAACTGGGTTACCTAATATTTATAGTGGTTAAGTGGTAAAGTCAGATTTGACACTGAGTGGCTCATGTTATACAGCTCTTCCCGCTGAAACAGACTTCCCACATTCAAGGTTTTGGTTTCATCTGCTGTCCAGGTGTGACTCAGGTACACAGCAGACCAGCTATAGTGGTAAACCTTTGGAGTTCAGTGACAGAGCATATTTTCCTACTCTTATTTTTTCTCCCAGGAGGCATATGAAGGCCAGTGACGTGAAGTTACTGGAGGAAGCCGCACAAAGATAATGACAGGACTGGAACTCAAGCCCTCTGCTCCTTTATATGCTACGTAGAGATGAAGATTTTGTATCTGGGAGACCACAGCTTAACCTCAGGAGGCAATCACAAGAATACTTCAGTGGGTATATCTATTCTAACTTTTCTTTAGGAAATATATTTCTAAAACGACCTTATTAAAGCTCCCAAACCAAATCTGTAGCATATTGGTAACCTGGTATCCTCATGTATTTCAACAAAAGGAGAAAAAAATGTGACATGAAAGGAATAGATTTAGCAGTCGAATTATGCTTACCTTCATAAGTCCCGCTTTCTAGGAGAGCACCACTTTTCTCCAATTCCATAAAATCTTCAACGGTGATGAAAATATAGTCCACTCCAGGGACCTCACCCTCCTTATGTGGCCTTGTGGTGCCTGAATAAGAAAAAATATACACAAAAGAAAGACTCTAAGTGATTTTTTGTTGAACTTTAGAAATACTGCCATACTTCTGAATATTCAATAACACTTGTTTGTACATCCTGCAAGTTGGCAGTTTGCATTTGTCCTTCTGTTTGTTTGGAAATGGAAAATAACAGGGCATAAGGATTAAAGTAAATACAAAGCATTATTCTTCATCAAACTTATAAAAAGAGTTCATTGCCATGGAATGTGGCTGCACAGATTTTTCAGTGAAAAATGCAGACCATTGTGCTGTTTTGGAAGAGGTGGCTTGAATATTGGGCCAGGAGTCTGCTAGCTCAGGAATTTACTTATCTCACTTCCATGAATGGACCTCTATTGTTCTGTGGATTGCTTTGTTATGACATAAAATACAATGGAAAATAGAAATGTGAGTGAAATGCTGATTTATATTTCCATGATCTGTTCCCCTGGGGGAAGGGATGGTTGGTTTTCATTTGTTATTTTGTACCAAATAATTGACAGATCTGATTTAAAGGAGCACAAAATCTTTGCCATTACTTAAAATTAAATAATGAATAATTGTATTGAGTAACAATTATAATAGCATTAGTGTTATAATGTTAATAATATTATTTCCTTCTTCCCTCCTTCTTTCTTTCACTGTTGCCTTGAACTCTGACTGAACTGGGAGGTGACACAGTCCTGGGGTTACTGCATGGATACCGCTCTTGTTTCCTGCATCACCTACAGAGGGAACTGAGCTTCTGAAGTCAAGGTGACAGGGACATCAGCTCCTGAGGGACGCAGACTCAGTACAACTGTATTGGAGAACTCAGGCTTCCAGACATGCTGTTCAGCTTCTGATCCAGGAACCAAATCAGAGGCACATTAAAGGCTGTGGGTTTGTTTTTTGGTTCACTTCCTTCCTTGAACATGACCTAAGTTTCTTGTTTTCTTTTTCTATATCACCTATCTAAGACATTCAGCACAATTGGAATTTCCATAATGCACACATGCAAACAATATGCAGAAATATACAGAGGGCAAGTAATGGTACACTGGCAGGATTCATCATACTTAAAATCTTCTCCATATTCTCTGTATACTAAGCACAAAGTATTTCCAACCCTTAAATTCAATTTTCACTCTCTGGAGTCTTCATCAGCTTAGTCATGAAAAGAGCCAGTCAGCTCTCTTTGGTCTGTTAGGATCAAATCCAGACTGCAAACGAGAGTATACAATGATTTGGGGTAACTGATTTGGGGTAAAAAGGAATAATTTCTGTTGAAAACATTTTTTTAAGATTTGAAGGCATGATTTTCTACAATTAAATTTTACAACCCTTCTTTGGGGGCTGCAAAACAATTTTTTTTCCATAATCATGTTTAATGGCTTTCCCTTGAATTTGTTATTTTATTTTGCTTAACTGAGCCATTTTGCAGTATTTCCTTCTGCTTTTATGCTGTAAAATATAATCCTCCCACACCTAGTATGCATAATGTTGTCAAATTAACGGTTCTATGAGAACCTTAAATTTCAATATTCTGACTTTTTTATGTGCTTAACCCTTGTAAATTAAAAGTGCATTAACATGGGTTTTGGCAATCAGTTTGTTTTTCTGTTTATCTAGAACACGCTGTAATCATTAAGAAAAGTCACATAACAAAGTTTCAATTTTCCTTTCTAATTTACCTGCATATTTCAGAAGCTACATACTTTGATTGATTAGCTACTTGCCGTGTGGTGATGCAATCCCAGCACTCTGTGTGCACAGGACCACGTGCTTGAGGGCAGTTTCCAGGGCCACTGACTTGGCAGGACTTACTCGCCTGCACCAAATTCTACTGAACATGTTTGTAGTTATGCTCTTTTTGGGAGGACCATGTATAAGTTTTTGTTTTTTCCAGATTTAATGTTCTCATTTCCAATTTTCTTACAATAATTGATAATTAAATTGATTAACTTTCTCCTTGTTGGATAACTCTCCTCTCAAAATAAACAACTATATTTGGTATTTCCATCTAGTTTGTCCTATTGAAAAAAACCTCTCCTGGAGCCTCTGACCTCCAGTCCAGACTTTTCTGACCACACAGTTGCCATCCTGGGGTCATTTGCCATCATCCAGGGGATTCACTTTGCCTCTTCCCTGTGTTTTATCCCCTCTGATCCCATGCCTCTTCTTGTGGGCTATTTCTTCATTTTGGCAGGGCACACCAGTCAGAAGCTGTCAAGGCTGCATGGGAGTTCCATTTTCTGAGACTTCACGTATCTAAAAATGTTTTTATTCTACCCTCACAGATGGCAAATTGGACTCAGCATTTCAGGAACACATCATAATGAAAACATCTTTTCCTCCATCTTGCTCCTCTGTTAATGTCACCACAGCTCCACCAGTCATGCACGCTTTGAAAGGCTCCCTTGGAGTCACATTTGAGGTGTCTCTCGCTCTTTTACTCCATCTCCAAATATTTGACAACATTCTATGGCCCTTAGCTCCACAGTATCACCCTCCCCTTCTGTACAACTCTGTCCTAAAATCTGCCTTCGGGGACCAGGCACCAGTGACGGCCCTGGTGTGCCCGACTTTCCCATGTGGCTTATCACTGCACTCTCCAGGGAGCCCTGCAAAAGCAGAGGCCAATCACAGACCCTCTCCAAAGGGCACATCTACCTCATCTCTAGTCAAGAGATTTGGTTGAAAAAGATAAGAAGAGGAATATACTGAAAGTTATTAGAAAGAGCCAGAAAAAAGCTCCGATTCCATTACTCACAATAAAAGGCAACTCTCATGGTATGTCAGGTTGAGTCCTTCAAATGGTCTTGCCTTGATGGAATGTGTGAGATGACATAATTTCAGAATATTCTGCTTAAGCAGTATCTTCCTTTCTGGCCTGCCATGTGGCACTCTCCTTTCCTTTTAGACTAAAATTTCCAGCATTATAATTACTCTTTGGTTTACACACAAAACAGAAAGTCTCTTAAAACATACACAATAGTAGATACAAATCTAAGTCATGGTATCAAACTGTCTGGGCTTGCTGGAGGTCTGCCATTTGCTATCAGTATTACCTTGAGAAAGGTCCTTTACCTCTAGAAACTCTAGTTTTCTTATCTGTATAATGGGTAGCAACTTCAAACAGCTGATTTGAAGAACAGTTGAGATAATCCACATAAGGTACTTAATACAATGTCTAGAACATACTAAGCATTCAAAAAGGATTATATGTTAAGTATTGTCTGGAAGAGCAGAGATGGCATCATGGATAGTTTTTTTCCCCCATGAATTTTTGCCACAAATGCTAACTGAGCACTTACTTACTATGTGCCAAGCACCATTGAAGATAGTTGGAATATATCTTTGAATTACAATGGAATAGGATCCCTTCCCTCATGGGGAACTTACGTTCAACAAGGAGAGAGAGAGAATAAACAAAAAAACATAATTTAGAAATAAGTTATATAGTATGCTATAAAGGGTTAAATGACCATAACTTAAATGTTAAACAACCATAAGTCAATTGTTAAATAACCATAAGTCAAATCATTAGCACCTATGCACTATTTAGTGGGTCAGTTATTGAGATGTTTAACTGTTAGCTTAGAAAACACAGAGAAAAGTTGGAAGAGAAGAAAAAGGTTATAAAGGATCTGAGAGGAAGCAGAGATCTACTATTCTTGCAGGCTGCAGGCTTCCCAGAGTGACCACTTGGCTAGAGAACCTCTGGAAATCAACAGGAGATCCACAGGAGCCTCGTTGTATTTTGGAAAGAATCACAGAATTTCTAAAGAGAAATTCACATATTTCACAAACTACTTGGTGTAGCTTAGTTCAAGCAGCTTACACATTGGTGCCCAACACAGGTATTTTTGAACTTTCAAGGTTATTTTCATAGGATTGATAAGTATGACAGTGCATGGTGGGCTCTGATGACTGATGTGCATGCACACAGAGACATATATACATTTATATACACACACATATACATACACATATTATTTTTAAAGGAAGAAGATGGAAGCATGATGTGGCAAAAGGTTCTTAGAACTGAAATTCAGAACATCTGCATTCTATTTTTTGTTTAAAAATTTTAGGGATGTGCTCCTGGATTAAAACATCATTTAGTTCAGCATCGGTTTTCTTATGCAGTGAGATAAATAATAGATATGAAGGAGTATTATAAAAAGTTTCAAAACCATAAACACTACACTAACAAGATTGTATTCCTCTTTAGCAATATTAATAGTACTACTAAGAATAAGACAATTCTAACAAATATCATTGACGGTATTTTATTTTTGGAATCTCTTATAATCAAAGTTTCAAGTGAGTCAATTTTACTGAGGCTAATACTTCTTTAAAAAGAAAAAGTTATTTTGCCTAAAGACCCAGATTACCCCATATTGTCTGGATGTAAAGAAACCTAAGTTGACATACAGACAGATTTCCTTTGATGACACCCTAACATGTGGGACACAATGGTTTAGTCACTATTTACAAGGGTCCTTAGCCTTCCATTAGGCAGACACTTACGGGTCTGTGAACAAGATTGCAAGAAATTTTTTCACCATTTGCTGACTCATTTGAAAAAGGTGAAAGGGCCCATAAAATCTGCTTAGTGGGTCATTTAAATTTCACCCACAGGCATAGGACCTTCAACAACAAGAGTCAGAAAGCATGATTTTAGGTCTATGCGTCCAGGAAGAAAATATTTTAGTTGGTGTTAAATCAATTGTTAAATCACCAGGAGAAAGCAACTGGCTGAAGAAGGTGAAAGCAACTGGTGACCTAGGAACCGCTCTTTGTAAAGAAATATGATTCAAGAAATAAGGTAAATAATGTGAAATGTAATGAAGTGTTGTTATAATGGTCATTTATAGCTAAAGGTAATTAATATCTAAGTTGGAGAAATAGTTAAGTTGTATTATCTGAAGCAGTTACTTAACTTATTTTTATGCTGTAATAATTATAGTTACTTTTGCAACTCAGAAGATTATGAATAGAGAGGTGT